CGATTTATCAGATTGGGGATAAGTCCAAGAAAAAGTTGGTGCCTGGGCAAAGTGTCTCCAATAAAGTCAAGGAGTTGTTTATTGTCTGTAAAGTGAGTTTTTTAAGCGATTTAGATGGGATTCGTTGGTATTTTACATTTGCGATTTATTTCAGAACATGAGGGTTCTGTCTTTCGGCTTTAAGGACGCCGATAAAGACAACGGACGGCAGATTGCTAACGGGTTGTTACATCATGCCTATCCCAAGAGACATCCTCTACTCTTTATGTATGATATCAAGTGAGTTTGTTGTTTAGTCTTGTAAATTGAGAATGCTTAAGATGTATGTTTTAATTTAAGGGAACCTTATAATAAGCCAATTACTAAGGAGGCTAGGCTTTACGTGACGGCGGAGGATTGGAGGAAAGACTTGACGCGATGCAAAGCGAAGAAGTGGCGGATTTCCGACGTGAACAAGAACTTTTCGGTGACGCTACACATGCCCGAGTATTTGGTCGTGCCAGAGACCATAACTAACTCGCAAATATCTACAGCGGCTAGGGACTTCCGGAACGAAGGATTTCCCGTTTGGGTGCGTGCGTTTCCTCACGATTCCGATCTCTTTCACACATTTGATTTGTAGGTTTGGGGCACCGAGCATGCGGCCCTTGTGAGAATGCCCGATCTTCTGCCATCACTCACAGATCGCGTACAGGAGAACATCCTTATAACACAGGTGCACAAGTCGCATCCGAGGACGCAGCCGATCATCGTCGATTTGAGTCGAGATTGTCCGACGCCCAAGGAAGTGCAGAGCAGCTACAGCAAACTGAAGAACCTCTGCACTCCGGACAGCGTGCGAGTGTACAAGGCGCAGGATTTCAAGTTCTACGGTTTGCTGGACCAGTCGAAGTGGCTGCACCACATTTCGATGTGCCTTAGCAAAGCCGTTGAATGCGCTAAGGTACTCGTAGATGATACGACCACAGTCATATTGCAAGAAGGTTAGATTTGATTTGATTTGATACAAGAGTGAGTGAGTGTTTGATATTAATTGGTCTTTTAAATTTTAGATAAAGGAGAAGATATGAATTGCGTGGTGTCGAGTCTGATCCAGTTGCTGTTGGACCATCACTGGCGGACAAGGAAGGGCTTTCAGTCGCTGATCCAGAAGGAGTGGGTGGCGCTCGGTCATCCGTTCGCTTTCCGTTTGGGGCACATCTTAGATCCGGACATCGAGCCTTCGTTTTTATTCCTGCTGTTCCTTGATTGCGTGTGGCAGATGCTGCAGCAATTTCCGACAGCCTTCCAGTTCAGCGAGACTTACCTGACGACCATCTGGGACTCGTCGCATATAACGATATTCGAGACGTTCCTGTTCAACTCCGAGCACAGCCGATTCCTGGCTGTAAGTTTTATCCGTAATCATCTTCGATCCGGGTGTTGATCGTCGTTGTTTTCAGGGCAAGCAGTCGACGCTGAGGAGCGTGTGGAACTGGAGCGAGCAGTTCTCGGAGAGCGACATCACTCTCTTCGACAATCCTCTGTACGAGAGGAGCAACAAGGAGAGGTTGATCCCGAGCACCGGGATCTCCTGCTTGGACGTATGGCGGCAGTGCTACTTCAGATGGATCCCGGACCTGGAGATCAGGAACGGCGGCAGACCGCAGATCGACATCTGCAATCGTTTCCTGTCCGAGGAGCTGGAGCTGCTGCGACACAAACTCGCCACGAGCAACTTCAACGGCGCCATAAACAAAACCAAAGAGGAGAAGCTGCAGATCCTGCGGAGAGTCAATAGTTTTTACCCGTTCAGTCATAATTGTGCCAGCGCAGATCAGCAGTTGAACAATCAACTGCTGCTATCCAGCGACGCACTCGAAACGCAGTCCATATACAATCTAGCTACCGATTAATCTTGAAAGCTCTTAGCACGATCATCGAATAGACTAAACATAGCGAGCGAGCGAGCGAGCAAGAGGAGGACAGTGCGAGCGTGTGTGTGTGTGTATTTTTGTACAAGCTAAAGTATTACAATTAATATATTATTATTGTTTAATGATAGAGTTATTTATTTTGTTTTCGCATTTCTATCTCAGTGTCATGATGGATAGACATGCACTATTTCTATTATTATCATCATCATCATTTTCTTTTATTTACTTAACATTGTGTAACAATTCTTCCGTTTTATTATGTTCAAACTTGAATTTCGCTTCTGTCTCAACTTGTAACGCTAGAACAAATTTTTACTTTCTGTACATTTACTAATACTTACCAAAAATGGATTTTAATTTATTACAAATAAATGAATTATAAATAGAAACCAATCGAATTCTTTTCTTCAACCCCCTTCTTTATCCGCCTACTAAAAGCGACTTAAGTATTAATTATAGAAACAAATAAATAGGCAACTTAATTTACTTAATTTGAATTTTACAAGAAACGCATTGTCTTTCTGCGCTAAAATGCGAACGAAATGTTCAAAAACAAAATTAAAATAATAGAACTGATCTTGTATTTGTTACGTTATATAAAATTATATAACGTAAAGTGAAATTTCATTGAAAACAAATGATGTTTGTTCGTTCAAGGTGATTTATTATTAGAGTTTCCGACAATAACTAGAAAGCTTTGGCGGTGTCTTCCACTGCGTCCTATTTTTTTTATATATAAAACAAATGCTGTAAATATTAATAAAATATTGCGACACTAATAGTTCGCGAATATTCTAGAATGCTGTGCAGTCTTTTCAGGATCAATACTAATCTCTGCGTATTACTTTGTTTCGCCATCTATCCCCACATATATGTAACATTATGTAATACTAATTCCATCAAGTATCCGAATTTGCTTAAGTTCGTGTTAGTTAGTTAGTTTTAAATCATTATGGTGATGATAAATTCAAACATTTTGATTTATAGGCGCAATTTCGAAACTTTATGCAAACTTTCAAAAGTAAATTAAATTATATTTGTTTTAAATCATAATGGCGATGATAAATTCTTCCACTGCCTCCTATTTTTTTTTATCTAAAACAAATGCAGTAAATATTAATAAAATATTGCGACACTAATAGTTCGCGAATATTCTAGAATGCTGTGCAGTCTTTTCAGGATCAATACTAAATCTCTGCGTATTACTTTGTTTCGCCATCTATCCCCACATATTGTAACATTATATAATACTAATTCCATCAAAAAACAAATATAATTTAATTTACTTTTGAAAGTTTGCATAAAGTTTCGAAATTGCGCCTATAAATAAAAATTATTTGAATTTATCATCACCATAATGATTTAAAACTAATTAACTAACACGAACTTAAGCAAATTAGGATACTTGATGGAATTAGTTTTACATTATGTTACAATATGTGGAGATAGATGGCGAAACAAAGTAATACGCAGAGATTTAGTATTGATCCTGAAAAGACTGCACAGCATTCTAGAATATTCGCGAACT